TTTGTTTAATGAGCATAAGGTGGGTCTCAGTTCTCCTATCGTTGACGCATGAGTAATGAAAATGGTCGACAAACTTTCGAGAAGGATCTTGGTTCATTGAGATGGAGAGTTGGGGCAAGTCTTAGAACGACTACCTGGCGGGGCAAGCGAGTGTTGTCAAGAACCCCCGCTTTTTTCAGCGTTGTTATACTTGACCCCCTCATAGCATCGTGGTAAGATGTGGCGTGATCCACAGGGTCCGTAGATCCATCATACTTGTCGATCCGTGGTCCTTTGAAGCCTTTAAGGAGCTGCATGACCAACACGTTGATGGTGAACAGCTCTTGAGCTATCTCCAAAGGTTCATAGTGGATCGTTGATCCTTTGTTTCCCGTCCCGCTGCTGTTCGATCCTTTATTTTTATGGTTATGATAAACTAATTAAAAATAAAAATAAAACAAAGAAATCAGTTGAAGATTTTGAAAATAAAAAAATATATAATTTCAATTTATTTGGATAACTGAAAATCTAGGATTTATGTTGCTCTCTCTGGTCGTCGAATTTTTGGAATTATTGGTTATTGTAGGTTATGGAATTATTGGTTATTATAGGTTATGCAAACATGAGCATAGTTTAACAATAATTGACACGTACCTCATCTTTATTTAGAGCATATATAAGCATCCTTTTGTTTTACTGCAAAAATCACTCTTGAAGTATGATAGATATTGCAATTGCACCCCTAAACTTTCAAACAATTTTCTCACTTATACAAATTTAAGGGTTTAATTTTTTAAATTTCAAAGTTTAGGAGTCTATTTTTATCGTTTAGGAAAGTGTTTAATCTTTACAAATCAAAGTTTAAAGTACAATTGTAACAAGTCTAATAATGTTTTTTCTTTTCGTTCCTTTTTCTTTTTCAAAGGATAGATATTATATGGTGTGGGATTTATGATTTGGTAAATCTGTTTTTATGAGAATTTTAGGTTAATTGAGTCAAATTTAAATCTTTTAACTTTCAATTTAATCCACTTAAACTTTGAATTAAATTTAAATTTAAAAAGAGTACTTTAAGATAACTCTTTCATCATTCAAGTTAATACATCTTGAAACTTAGATTCTAGATTTAAAAATTGCAGAACCAACCCATACAAAATTCAACTACCAAAACATTTAAATTCACCAAAAGCAGAACTCCAATTTCAAGTAATTAAAAGTACCTAATGTAACTAAAAAAACCAAACAAACAAACAAAAACACGCATCCAAATACAATCTCATCAGACTATAAAAACGCTCATAGCTAGTCGTAAACCATCCAAGAAACGAAAATTTAACCAATGGAAGGCAACAACAATTACACATATTCGAATAATTAAGCGTCGAGCTTAAATTGATAAAATAGAAAGTTGACTCACAGCTTTGGCAGCACCATCACACCTTAAATTTTAGACTTTCATAGAGCCTTTTGTACAAATTCAATTGTTAAGCTATTATATTCCTACAATAAATCTTAATTTTATTGTTGTGTAGCTTGGATTAAAGGGAAAATGGTATGTAAAAATAAAAAGTATAACACAATCCTCAGTTAAGGGCATCCTAACCTTTGCTCTGATGGAGAGTCTCTAATCGTTCTTTGGCTCTGTGAACTTTTGACTGAAGATAAAAGCTTCCATTCTGGGCATTCTTTTCAAACAAGGTGTCATATTTCTGAACAAGTAGGGATGATTTTCAGAAGCCAAGTCATAAAAATATAGATGGGAAGGAACTATTTTGATGAAAAGCAAAGAAACATTTGACCTTCACAATCTCCTCCCACGGCGTTTCTTCGGTGACGCTAAGAATCTGCCTCGCTTCTTGCTCTGTCATCACTTTGCTTGCTCTCCGGAAAGTGTTTTGCACTGTTTCTTGAGCTACACCCGACTTTGAAGCATCTGCAGTACACAAAAGAGTGTATTTGTTAAGAAGTAAAAATTTTGTATGAACATCGAAATTTGTCCAAACAAATAAAGTACATGTTCAACAGGTTACAATGAACTATGAAGCCACTTTAACCAAATTTTAGGCCATAAATCACTTCTCACGTCACATGCTAGAGAAGTAAAAACATTTTTCTTCAAGATCTAGAAAGATATTATTCTGCCGTTTAAGGGTGAGAATAAGGTAAGGATGGAATTGTAGGATGCATGCAGGCTTGTGTACCACCCCAAGCCTTCTTGGGGGTTATCTTATAGTTATTTTTTTTTCATCTCTATGTATCTCTTCTACCCCTTAGAATCTCTTCTTACTCCTATCTTTCGAAGGTCGAGAGATCTCCAAGAAGATCAAATTCTATACGTGACAGGTCTTGTATGGAAAAGTTAACACTTGGACCGTATTAAGAGACATTCTTCCTTCTTTCTGGGTCCATGGTGGTGCACTTTGTGTAGACGAGAATTGGAGGAACTTGATCACATTATATGGAGCTATGTAACTTTACTTAGTCTTTGCGGAATCTTTTTTTCTTAGAGTTGTTTGGAATTTGTTGGGTGTGTGATTGTCGCTCTATGATGTAGGAGGCTCTTTTGAATCCTCCATTCTGAGATAAGGATAGTCCTTTGGCATGCTTGTTTTTTTGTTGTCTCATGGGGTATTTGCTTGGGAGGAGTGGTAGAATGATTAGCGAGATTGAGTGGTTTCGGAAAGCGGTTGGGGGACATTCTCTTGATGGGTATTAGTTTCTCAAACATTTTGTAATGACATTCTCTTGATGGGTATTAGTTTCTCAAACATTTTGTAATGATTAGCTAGGTTTTATTCCATTGGTTTGAAGTATGTTCACGCCTAGTAGGGTTTGGACTTTCTTTGTATACCCTTGTATTCTCTTTTTTGTTGCTCAATGAAAGTTCAATTTCTCAATTAAAAAAAAATGCAGCCTATGTACAGTAAAAAAAGAAACTTTGATTTCTAAATCAACAGGACAATAATAAAATATGTGAATACGAAACTCAATTCTTATTTGCAAAACACTTGCACATGTCACAGGCTAGGAAAAAAAATAGATTCTTCACCACTTAACGAAAGATCTAAGAGGACATTATTTTGGCTTTCGGAGGAGGTAAGTGATAGAAATGCAGGATGTTAACGTCACTCAAGTACAAAAAGCTTTGATGTCTATTTTCTATATCAACTCAAAAAGAATAAAATTATGTGCACCGTGCATACACAACTTGATTCTTATTTGCAAAACGCTTGTCCAACCCGAGCTCACCCCACTGACATTGTAGCTTTGAATAGTTCAAAGACAAGGTGCTAAGTTACTTTGGTTCAATATGTAGATGTCATTATTAGTTTCCATCAAGATAGCGAATCGACTGACATATAATCGAGATAGAGAAAAAGAAAAAACAACAGTAAAATAAAAAAGAGCGTACTTACTTGCAAGGGCTTGACGGTAGGCTTGAACAAAGCCCCTAGCAAGTATCCCAGAGCCCATAACAATTAAATTGGCAAGAATTCTTGCAGCCTGTCCAAATAAACATATAAGCAAAGGAGCTCTTTCGTAGGAAGTTGTCAAACAGACCAAGAAAATGTAAATCAATTGTGCAATATCTCCCCCCTCCTCTCCCAAAACTAAAGACAGAGACGGAACAGCAGCAGTAATAAACAACAGTTCCTATTATATAGTATTTTTTTTTCTTTTTATTGAAAGCCGACCTTTCATTGAGAAAAATGACATAATACAGAGAGACATACAAAAAAACAGCCCAACAAAACAAGCAAAACAAAAAAGAATGAGCTCAAATCAAGCAAAATTAAGCCTAAAAAACTTTGGACACAAAGGCCCAAAGGGAGACATGGAACAAAACAAGGTCCCACACCCCCTCTTTCAATCTCTCTATCCCTCTAAAAATTCTATTATTCTTTTCAAACCACATAAAACAACAAAGATACCCGTTTGCCACAAAAATCGACCCCTATCCCTTAACGGAGGAAAATGATCCAATATTGAACAACATTCCCTCGCATGAGCCAAATGAACCCGAAAAGTCTCCCAACCCTATGTAGCAAATTGGCAAGACCAAAGGAGGTGATCCAGATCCTCGGTTCTAATTATATATCATTAACTAGGTGGATAAAAGAATCAATATACACCCAAGAAAAATGTAAGTGATATACAATTACGTTCCAAATATGATTTGCCAAAAATTTCCCCCAATGAATTCTACAAGAGAGACGACCAGCAAGTCAATATCCAACTTATTTTCAAATGCTTAAAAAAGCGGAGAGGACAAGAAACTCAGCATTATTTCATTAAGAACCCAACACGCTAATAAGGTTTTAACTTCATTTCCCTCCCCGAAAAGAAATTTGGGAATGAGTGAAAACTATGAATTAGACCCAGAATATATAAGCAATCTGGAAACAAATTAGAGAAGACAAATACATACTATTTCAGACAGGATTAACAACATAAATGATGTTTACACATTCAATCCTGATTCAAATTATTAGTTTCCAATTTATCTTAAAACCCGGGGGAGAGAAAGAAAGAAGAGAAATACCATGGTTAATGGGCTGGGATTGATGGCAGCTCCGGAATCGTTGAAGCCGCTTGAGCTGCAAATTCAATCAGAGAAGCTATTTGGGTAACCAGGGGGCGAGAAACGCAAGAAACCGATTCGTCAATTTTTTTTACCACAGATTTGCGATGATTTCTAATCGGAATGGATTCGAAATCGTTTTCAGGCGTGCCGGAGCGTTGCAGGAGAGAGGACTACAGAGAAGAATGCGTGGGGAAGAAGTACAAGGATCTAGGGTTTTTGGTTTTGTTTCCTTTTTTTGTTTTTTGAGATGTAATAAATAAATACTATATGTGTATATATATTAGTACCAGGATACAATGTCACAATTTTTTATCGGAGATATGTGTCAATTACAACGGCTCACTTTGGCAAATGTAATAAATATCTACGTCGAAACAATTTGAATTTTGCCTAACTTCTTAGAACTCAAGAGGAGGTTTAGGTGGAGTTATTAAGTCTTGACTTTTTTAATATGGAGTTGTTTAGAGCCCGTTTGGTAAAGTTCTCATTTCAAGTTTATTGTTCTCATTTTTTATTTTTTGAAAAACATACATTTTTTTAACTCATCTTATTTCTTGTTTCTAAAATTTGAGTAATGTTTCTTTAAAAGAGACTAAATTTTAGAAACAACGGAAAGTAGTTTCGTTTTTGTTGTTTCCGTTTTGTAATTATTATGAAAACCCATGTAGTCGTCAAATGGACATGTTGCTCTGTTTTAGGCACGCGTATGGTGTTACAATCGCACATTTTTAACGCAGCTCGAGCGATTGTGCGGCACTTGCTCTAACTCAAACGAGCAAGTCAGTCGAGAAAATTAAAATTGTAAGTTGCGAGCAATCTCAGTTGTTGGTCTAGTCTCTGCTCACGTTTTACGAGAAAATTGATTTTGGAAAACGTGAGAAAGAAAAACAGTTGAAAAACATCTTTAAAACAAACATTGTAAACATTGGAGGCAAGAAAGCTTTGATTGCAAGAAAGTATACAACACTTGGATAAGGGAGGTTTGATGACTACTTGGTCCCCCTAAAGTACATTATAAGACATTTTTAGTGTGGCAGGGGTAAACATGCAAAGTGGCGAGGAGTCACTCGGTGGCCTAGAGGGCTTGTGTGAACTCCGATTGGTTTGAAATTTGGCGTGCTTACATACCTTACCAATACACACCTAGTTCCAAAAGCTGCTCGACCAAATTCCACCTACAACCCCAAAAACCCGATACAAACAAACTATACTAGAAAGCTTTAAAGACATGAAAGTAAAGCGAGTGATGAGCATGGTTTGGACATGCAACCATGGATAACACACCTGGACAAGCATGCCCACAACACATGGTTTATGTGATCTTGGTTTGATTCTTAACGGCAGCAACTTGTTTTAACTCTTTTATTATATTTTCTTTTTTTATATCTAGTTTTTTTTATATATTTTATTTTATATATTTCTTTTTTAAATTATCTTTATATATTTTCTTTTCTTTTATAGTTTCTATTTTTTAATATATAAATTATCTTTTTCTATATTATCTCTTTTAATATTTTATATTTTTATACAACATTTAAATTAAAAAAAATTCTTTTATTTAAGTCATAATATAGACTACCCTATCAAAAAAAATATATATATATATATATATATACACACACTATATTTTCTTTAGTGAATTATATTTCTTCTGCATGTGTTATATCTTTTTACCAAATTTTATTTTAACTAGAAGTTAAAAAACTCAATATTTGTTCAAGTATATATCCTAGATCAATATATCACAAGTTCAAATTCCCACCCTCACAAATTGTTGTACTAAAAGAACTAAAAATCAAAATAAAAAACAAGAAATAGTTATCAAACATATTTTTGTTTTTATTTCTTATTTCTTAGAACAAGAAATATAAATAGTTACCAAACGCATTAATGTTTCTAGTTACAAAAAAGTTAGAAACGATGAATGAGAAACAGGAAACAGGAACGTTAGTCATGTTTGATCTTTCCTGTCCCTATTATCTGGTCCTTATTGATCAAGTTTAATTCGAGTCCAATTAGACACTAATTTGAAAGTTTAACGATAAATTTGTAATTTATCCAATTCAATATCAAACCTACGTCTATATCAAAAAATTTTTTATACAAATTTAAATCCAACTTTTGTAGCACCCTCGGGTGTTGGTGCAGTGGCAAGAGGCTTGGGCATTGACATCCAAGATTGAGGTTTGAGCCCTGTTGTGTCCAGTAGTAAAAAAAAAGTCTGAGTTTTACATTACCATTGCAAATAAAGTACATTATGTTCTTCTCTCTTTAAAATTTTTTCTTCCTATAATTTTTATCGCTCTTTCTCTTTTAACACATCTCTCCCACTTTTTTCTTCTCTCCGAAATTTCTCTTCTTTTTCCCTTTAACTTTACTCCCTTCGAAATTTATCTTGACACTTGTTTTTCCACAACTTTCCTTAGCCAATGTTCTTTCTCTGACTACTTTATTTCTTTTTTATCTTTGTAAAAATTTACTCTCTAAAATTTCTCTCTATAAAGTATCTCTCTAATCTTTCTGAACTTTTATTTCTTATCTTTACATATTTCACTCTAGTTTATCTTTCTAACTTTTTGAAGAAACATAAAACAAAATCAATGATCAAATTTATTTAATTTTATATTTGTAAAAAAAAAAACATATCAAACAATAAACAATCAACATGTGTGATCTTTTATTTTTAAAAACAAAATCAGAAACAGAAGAGCAAAAAATAAAAAACAAAAAAGGTTATCAAAACCTAAAATAGTAAGCATTTTGAAATTGCAAAACTTAAAAGTTATTAAATTTTGTATCAACACCTCCATTGCGGCTTTCTTTCTCCTGGAAACTTAAAAACATTTTGCAGATCAGTTTTGAAAAACAAAATTGAACACCTGTATAAAAGGTCTCGCAAATAATGAAATACAATTTCATGGTGGAAACATCCACATGTCCAAACTCATGAATATAATGGTTGATGAAGTTTTAATTTTCTCTTCCTTTTTTTTGATGTGACGTACGTGTCAAGCACCTCGACTATTTACGGACCAACCATCTAATCCTACCAACCATCTAATCCTACCACATTTAGTTGACAAGAAAAATATATAATCTTAAGTAGGTGACTACCATGATTTGTAATAATTAAATCGTCGGTTGGACGTACTAAGTTTTAATATTCTAATTCCAATTTCATATTTTTAACAAACAAAAAACAATTACCGAATACTTTTTCAAAAAAGAAGAATGTAAGAGATCAGGAAGGGACTTTTTTTTTACAATAGATGTAGAGACGGAGAAAACAGTAAAGTGTCTTAACCATTGAGCTATGCTCGTGTTGACGATTAGGGACCTCTTTGATTCAAGAACTCCTACTCCAACCTAATCATGGTGACAATCTCTATTTGATTCAAGACAAACAGAAAAAAAAACAAATCATTATCAAATTACATAATGAACCAACAGAAAATGCTCAACCAAAAAGTTAGAGTCCTTTATTTGAATGATTAAATTAGGTAGACAAACTGGAAGCTGCCCCTCCATCTTCAACTTCAACTGAAAAAGGAATGGGTTTAGTTGGAGCAGGCAAACGGCCAATGCTGTCGACTTTGTCTCGCTGCTTAGGGGGCGGCCTCGCTGCTCGTGGCAGAAGCCGGCCCTTCTTTTCAAACCACTCGGGCTTGAGCAGCGCTCGGAACCCTAATTTGTTGTAGTACACTTTTCTAACAGTCCCACCTGCAGCTTCAACGGCTTCCTTTGCCCTGACAGTCACCCTCGACACCTGAAAACATCACATTTATATTAAAGATTAGTTCAAAGTGTACGAAGCTCCTGCTAGATTTATTGTCTCCGAACAATCAGACATGTGGTTCATAATAACTAAGTCGTATCCGAAAACTAGAAGTTCGTTAATCCTCCTGGGCCCACATAACTAAAATTTCTGTCCTTAACTATTTGTGTCAATGAATTAGTTTTTAAACCACAATCCAATTGGTTAAAGATGAGAGTTCAAGCCAGGACAAAACTATAAAATAAGATTTCTACAATCTCTTTCTAATTTGTCAATATCATATTGAACTAAGCATGTCAATCATCAAGCAAATAACGCAGCCAGAAAGAAAGAAAATCTATCATTCCTAAAAACACTTTTTTCATTGAGAAAGAATGAAAAAAATACGGGACCTAACAAAAAAACGAACCCCACAAAAGGAGCCGAACTAAAACAAGAAGCTTTGATCTAACAAAATAAGACCTATAGGGTAATTACAAAAAAAAAAACTTATCCACCGATACCAAAGAGAAACATGAAACCTAAACAAGCGATCAAATTTCCACCCAAGATCTCCCCGACCCCTTTAAAATTTCTATCATTTCTTTGAACCCAAAGACCCATAAAATAGCACAAAAGCTGGCAAACCACGACAATGACCCTTATCACCGAAAGAGCAGACGAAGGAGAAGCTCCCCACTATAGAACTGCACCACGTAGGCTGAGCAGCCGAGCACTGATTCAGAGCACTACAATGGCCAAGATTTATAGATATTGACACAAAACGTTACTCAATCTACCTTTCCTTTGCCTACTACATTCCCAATACATATTGAAAAATTCCCAAGCAGCTGATTCAGATCAATACAATAACCGAGATTTATAAATCGATACAGAACATTAGCATAACTAGAAAGTGTATAGGTTTTGAAGATAGTGTAGGAAAAAGCATAAACACCTCTTGTAGAAAAGATTTACCTCTAGGTGAATTGGCCACTTAATATGTTCGGCGCCACGTCCCATCAACCTTACCCCATCCTGTATTTGCTTTCCTATTGCACCTGTATCCTGCTTTCACAATTGTAAGCATAATAATACAATATTAAGGAGCAGGTAGTTCTCGCTTAAGACAAACTTAAAACCATTCAAGATATAAATTATATGATACCTTGAGTGTTTTCATGGTGATCAATTCAGAAGAATCTATTTTTCCAGCATTTATAAGTTTGGCGATCTTTCCCAGACCAACTGGCTGTCATGAAACAAAAGCAACAATAAAAAAAAAATCGTAATACACAAAGAAAAAATCCTGCCAAAAATTTTCGTCGTATATGATATACTAAATATTGTTAGAGAACTAAAATCAGAAGATAATAATTTGAGCTAAACATTAAATTAAATGCAAATTGCAGAAGGTAAATCTTTTAAAAGTCATGCAATATTAATTGCCTATTACATGATATTTACTGATAGTGTGTCAAAGTCAAATATTGATTTTATAAGTTCACAACTATATAGTTTAACGTTAAGAAGGATAAGATGTGTCTGATGAAGAAAGAAAATTTTTATTCCATGCAGTGAACTTACTCTCAAGTCTTGGTCAATAAGGTTGATTCAAGCTCTCTATTTTCCGAGACTCTTTTAGGAATGGGATCATGAATGCCACCAATGAGATATACATTTGCCTCATCCCTAAAGAGATTGATGCTCGTACAGTGGGTGATTATAGGACTTTTAGTCTTACTTCATGTTAGTACAAAATTGTGCCTCAGGTCCTCTCAATGAGACTTAATGTCCTCCCTTTTACCATGTTGAAGCAACAATAAACCTTTGTAGAGGGATTAACAAATCCGTCTCTTGTTGTAAATGAGCTTGTTGATGAATGGAAGAAGAAGAAAAGAAAGAGGCTTTTTCTTTTTCTTTTGAACAAGATACAAACTTTTCATTGATAGATGAAAAGGAGCAAAATTGTTCAAAGATTGAAAGAGAAAAACAAGAAATAAAATGTAGAATAGAGGACAAAACTACAAAGGAGATAAAAAAGTCTCCCAATTCATACAAATCATACTAGGGGAATATGAAGAGAAAATATCGGAAAGAGGACACCATTGGGAAGCTTTAAATTTGGCAATGTTGAAGCATTCTAATGCCGAAGGACTAGTATCTTTAAAAATCCTTTGATTCCTCTCGAACCATAATTCTTAAATGATCGCCTTAAACCCATTAATCAAAAGTAGATTAGCTTTAGGCATCGACCAAGTTCCGTGGAGAAGCTGAAAAATATTACTAGCAGCCTCACGGTCCCAACCCCATGCTAATTGGAACGTCTTAAAGAAAAGATTCCAACAGCAGCAGCATATGGGCAGAAAAAGAAAACATGATTCAAACTTCCCCCTTTTCAGCACACAATAAACAGATGGAAGGTTCCAAAGCCATGTTAGGAGTCTCCTTTGGATCCAAGCTAACATGTTAACACGTTTTGGGCTGCCCGGACTCCAAAGAGAGGATAAGAGGACTTTTGAAACCCACAAATCATCATTTTGAAGCCTACAAAGTGAGGAAACAAAGAAGAGGCCCGACTTTTCCAAACCCCAACAACGAATGTCATATTCCTCCAAAAGAGTAACCAAAGAAATACAAGAAAGTAGCTCAGAAAGCTCCACAATCTCCTCGTCTTTCGAAGCCCTTCTAGCTACAATATTCCATGAAAATATTATTGTCAAACTAGATACTGAAAAGACGACAAAGTGAATCGAGCTTCCATGGTGAGATCCTCATTAAAAAGGGCTTTCGTACCAAACGGAGAAGATGAATTAGAGGCTGTATTTCTTCCACAAATTTCTCCATTACCATCAATGACCGTCCTAGAGGTAAGATTTTATATTTTTACTTCTAGAGGTCTTAGACAAGGTAACCCACTTTCACTTTGGATAGGAATGCTATTATGATAGAATCAGGGTTGGTACTCTCCGACAGATCTCTTTGGGTTGTCCATTTGCCTCCCTAAGCAAATAGATGATCGGCTTTCTAAAGCCCTTCAAGGTTGGATGCGCCCCGAAAAGGCTAAATTTCTATGGAACTGTGCTTCAAGAGCCATGCTGTGGCAGCTTTGGTTAGAGAGGAACTCTAGAGTTTTTGAGGATAAGTCTTCCACTGTTGATATTTTTTGTAGAAATGTACAGCACACCACTTCATGGTGATGTATCAATTACAGGAAATTCTTTTGTAATTACAACCTTTCCTTGTTCAGAAACAATTGGAAAGTGTTTACTTCGCTATTTTGGGTGAGGTTCTCTCTACCCCAGCCCTTAGGTTGTTCCTCCCTCCTTTTTGTATATATAAAGTCTCTTATCTAAAAACAGGAATGTTATTAGGATATTAAGGGTATATTAGTAATTAGTAGGGAAGTTGTTAGGAGATTTATTACAAATCTAAAAACAGGAATGTTATTAGGATATTAAGGGTATATTAGTAATTAGTAGGGAAGTTGTTAGGAGATTTATTACAAATAGAGTAAACGGGAAGGGTGAAGGCAAGCAATTGGTTAGTATGGCTTAGGCTTGAGTAAGATTACTCAAGAGAGAGGAGGGTCCAAGTACCCCGAATTACTTGGGAGTTCTTGTACTTCTTCTATCTTTTATATTTCAATATATTTCTAGTTGTTCAAGTTCAATCAGAAATCTAGCACCCCTTCCCTCTCTAACGTGGTGGTTGATTGCCTAAGCAGACTTTTGACACAATGACTATACACATTCATCCCCTCCCATTTCCCAATAATATTATTTTATTCTCCACTCATAAGGATTGTGTTATCCAAAGCCACTTTAATATCATCACGTCCCTTGAGGAGGCATCGGATCTTAATATCAACCTCCAAAAATCAGAAATCATAGGCTTTGGTGGAGCAGTGTTTTAAAAAGCACGCCTGGGCGCGCCCAGGCGCTAGGCGCAATGTCTGCGCCTCGCCTTTTCAAGGCGAGGCGAAATGAAGGAGGCGCGCCTTAAGCGCACGCCTCCCTTGAAGCCCTCGAAGCGCAAAGCGCTGCGCTTCATGGACTTCTGTAAATCTATATAAAAAAAACCCTAATACTTGAGTTTAGGGTTTTTTTTAAATCTCAAAATGGGCTCAAAGCCCATAATCTTTTAAATTTCCAATCTAATAAAGGAAAAGATCTTAATCTTTCCATAATCTTTTCAATTTTCTCTCCCTCCATTTACGTGAATCCCTTTAATATTCTGTGATGACTCTTCCTTCACATGGAAGGAAATATTTTTTCTATAACAAAACCTCCACACAAAAGCTTTCCATCTCTGTCATTTCTCAACCTCTTCTCTCTCTCTCTTTTTCTCTTGATAATGTTTGAACTTTGAATATTATTTGGCTTTTATATGTTATATATGTGTATATATATATTTTTATTTATCTTTATATATAGTGCGCCTCACGAAAAAAAGCCCGCGCTTTTTTTTGCACCTCGAGCTTAAGCTCCAGAGGTCTATTGCGCTTTAGTGCGCCCCGAGCTTTTTAAAACACTGTGGTGGAGGAGGTGGTTGTATCCACTACTAACAAATTTGGATGCAAGGTGGAAACTTGGACGAATACATACCTCGGGCTTGCTTTGAAGGAAAATCCAAAATCATCAACCTTTTGGTCTCGGTTATTGAGAAGATGGAAGAAGACTTCTAACTCGGAAGAACTTGCATGTCTCAAAAGGGGGAAGACCGCACTCATTCAAGCCACCCTCTCTAGATTATGTCTCCTTATTCCATGGCTAACAAAGTGTTTCTAGCTATTGAAAGAATTTTCATGAATTTCCTTTGGAGAGGGAAGACGGACAATTTGACAATTCCATACTATTAAATGGGATAAAATTCTTCTCCCTAAGGAGCAAGGAGGTGTAGGCATTCATAGCTTGGAGGACAAGATCCAGTCTCTACTTGCAAAGTGGGTTTGTAGATACCAAGATGAAGAAAAAGCAGTGTGGAGGAGAGTAAGTGGGTTTGGAGATATGAAGATGAAGAAACAGATGTGTGGAGGGGAGGAGAGTTATAGATGCAAAATTCAGTTCCACCTTTTTTAACATAAAATCGGTTTCTACCTCTCAAAAATCTGCTCGTGTTCCTCGGAAAAGTATCCTGAAATATCAAGGCCTTAATCATTAAATTCCCCAACACAACCAAGCATCTGTGAAGGATTTGTGGAAGAATGACATTAGGTATTGGGACTTAGTATACATCTCAAGGATGTTGAAATTGAAGAGTAGGTTGAACCTACAAACCTTCTTCCATCCATCCAACTCGACCAATCTGAGGATTTTTGGGTATGGAAGCTAGACTGAAAGGGTCAAATTCTCTCCTTGATTTAGACTCAAAAGAGAACAATGCTCATCCTTAACTTGCAAAATCTATTTGAGGGCGATTTCTACCCAAAGATCAAATTCTTCATTTGGGAGCTTGCACATAAGGGTATAAACAGCCAGGATTTACAGCAGCGTCATGTACCACACATGGAATCACAATCATATATCTTCTATACTTGCTCTTTTATCTCAAGATTTTGGGATGAGGTATATTCATTCAATTGGATAGTGGCTTTACCCCTTGATTTAAAGTGTCTCCTTGTTAGGTCTAGGCCTCAATTTTATTTATCAGACAAGTCAAGGGAGATTAGAGTGCTCCCTTCCTCTCCCAAGTTCTCAACAGAGAATACAAACCACAGTAAAAACCAGAGATCCCCATACTAGCTACCCCTCCCTTTAGATATACCTTACCGGGCCACACATAACTAACAAATATTCCCTAGGGCCCACCTATGAGTGCGTAATGCACCCGTTCACGCTGACTCCCTTTTTCTCACCCGCTTACGTTGATATACTTTAGTAATCTGGGGCCTATCACTCCTCATATATGCTCACTGCTCAGAGGTCACCCCTTCAAAAAAGAACAGGAGCTCCTTTTGAAGCACGCCATTAGAGCATTTCTTTGACGATGGAATGAAAGGAATCAAAGGCTCTTTGTTGAAAAGGGCAATCCTACGATGACTTTTTTGATAATATTATTTTTCATGCTATCTCTTGGTGTAAATTGCCGCCTCTCTTTCATTCATATAGTTTTGTTTCTCCATTGACCATTGACCAATGACAGAATTTTCATGTAACTCCTTTGGCTTTTGGGATTTTCTCTCCCCCTCAAAAAAAATGTAAATCTAACATAAAGTTTCTAGTAAGAGGCAAGATATGATATGGATATTAAGGACTTCAAGATGAAAATGGAATCCATTATGCTAGCAAACTAATGCAAAAAGTTAAACATATAGCAATTGGGAATTAAGCTTTTCCTTGTAGAATCACAAAACTATTTCAACGAAGCAATAACATGAAAAAATTAATTAAAATACCTGAAATGTGAGGCTGAAAGGATTTTTAAAGCCTCTTTTGGGAAGCCTACGACGAAGCGGGGTTTGACCGCCTTCAAACCCCAGCTTCCCAGAACCTCTTGCTTTCTGGCCCTTGTGACCTCTACCTGCAGTCTTCCCCTTCCCAGAACCAATCCCACGCCCCTTTCTCGTCTTTTGTTTCCTCGGAGCTTTGTCTCTCAAATCATTTAAACTCAAAAGGCTGTAAGCTCGAAAACCCAAGACATTTCCAGATAGAGGGAAACCTACAGTCCGATCAAGACTAGAGTTCCTCTGGAACTCTAGGAATGGATATGATAATGCTTGCTTTGTTACAATAGTAGGTGTGGGTTTAGTCCAAGCTGAGGCAAATGAGCTAGAGAGCAAGAAACTGAGACGTCTTCCTAGCATTTCCTTTTCCTTTTTATGGTTTGAAACCTGCAACAAAGGGAAACATTCCTCAAGCGAATTAGAAAAAGAGAGGAAAATTGTGAATGATTGCTGCATTATTAATGAAGGTATTGTCGACCTGTTTAATTTTTGTAATATACAGAGCATCAAGTGAAAAAATTCTAGCTTGACCATGTATACATAATTGTGAATCAATAAAATTTAACAAAATAACCTATACTTATTGAAACATATTATCTTCAAATTTGAATTCTCAACCTTGTCCAAACAGATATAAAACATCTTTGATACAAATTGGAATTCAGCAATTAAATTAGACATGTAGCTTTAGCCACGAACTTGATGAATGAGTTTGTTATCTAAAACAAAACAAAGCTTATGACATTATTCAATTCACCTTAATCCATGAACCTTCCAATAACGAAGTCTACAGTTCTATTTCGAAGAATTGTCAAAGACAAAAGAAAAACTAAGATAACAACCATATTTAGTTCTACTATTTGAGGAAAAAGATTCTAACTCGGAAAAAAGAAAACGATTGAAGTCCTTGCACTACAAAGAATAAAGAAAATAATAAAAATGAGTTCCAATTTTCAATCAATTACTAAACAAGTTCAACTACTAAAATAAAAGTTCTTAAAACTTAATAGTATTACCCTTTGATAAATATGACAATTCAAAAATGAAAATCTTTTCAATAGTTACAGTTTAAATTCTCTCATATCCAATTTGAGAAGTTTTTTGTAACTTCATTGGATAGGGTTTTTGTATGAAATTTGTTTCCTATCCAACAAATTATGCTCACTTACCTCACCTATACTGGGAAGAACGCCGATCTATGTTCACAGGAGTGGTTGCATTGTTACTGCTTGCGGAATGTACAGTCCACCGCCGTGGATCTAATGTCGTCGGAGATTGTCGCCGGTCTCGTCGGTCGCGCCGCCGGAAGATTTGTGTCGCTATGGGCTGCCGGAGAAGACAGAGGGTTTGAGAGGCGAAGAAAGGTTTCTCGGAGAGATGTGGGTCATGCAGTAGGTGGGCCTTTTTAAAAAATAAGAATAAAACGATTTTGAATTTCCTCTGATGGGCCATGTTAAAAATACCAATTCACCTATATTTAATAAATATCTAAACGTAGACAATTTCAAATTAAACCATAAAACTCTTAAACATAAATAGGTTAAAATATTCTTTTTGTCTCTATACTTTAAAAATATTTATTTTAATGCATGTACTTTTTAAAATGTAAAATTGTTCATTTTAGTCCCTCTAAATATATAACATAGGGATGACATGGCTTTTTTTTTTAAAGATTTTTTTTTTTCTAAACACTTTTTTTTCTCCCTTTCGGCTACTATGATTGGCTCCAATTTACCCAGACTTAGTAGGGCATGTCTTGCTCATCACCCAAGTACAAAGCACGTCTTTGCTCACCACCTCAAACACTTTTTGTTCGATCTAGAGATTCATCCACAAGTTCCGTAAATGACTATTAGGCTTACCAATCAACCCTTGTTTGACTCTCAATGATTCCTCTCACACAGCTAAGTTTCCATGGCTCTGATACCACTTGTTAAGGACAACGGTACCCCCAAGTACCCCGACTATCTCCACAATGGTATGATATTGTTCGCTTTGTACATAGCTCTCACGGTTTTGCTTTTGGTTTCACCCAAAAGCTCTCATACCAATTGAGATGAAGGAAATGGACAAATTTCACCTAACAAGTTTTTCAATTTGCTCAAATGACCTATCATTTGAAAATATACTTTTTTGACCTAAAACAACTTTTTCTGACCTCATAACAAATGTAAAGTACAAAATTGCCCCTTAATTCAATGAAAAAATTTGAAGTGTGGAGTCAAAAAAATAGGTAAAAACTCAGGCGAATTGGAAGAAAACTTGTCCGAATTTTTATCAAATTTGCTCGAAATTAGTTCACGGGCGAGTTTTCACAACTTGGTACCTCATAAAACTTTGGATATATATTTTAATTGTTAATTTTAGTTGTAAAATATTCTTTAGTCGGGTGGATTTCGACTCCAAACATTTATAATTAAAGGTTTGAGTTCAAAACTTGTTGGGTGCAACTTATTAACCCAGGTTTATTCAAACTCGCCCAAGTTTTACATGATTCTCGGACAAGTTTTTTTTAACTCGTCCGAGTTTTACATAAATCCTAGGCGAATTTACACGAGTCTCGAGCGAGATCTATGAATTTTGGGGCGAGATTTATGCAATTTCGAGTCAGATTCAAGCTTAATATTATTGGTCATAACCCAAATATAAAAAGGAAAAATCAAGGGATCGAGATTTAGGCAATATGGATCCAAGTCCAAGAAGTCTCATCCACTCGCCCTTTCCAATCCATATTCCAATGTCGGGAGGAAAGCTCAATATGGGGATCCTAAATGAAAAAGGAGTCCATGACCCCACATATATTCTTCCTGAATAATCTGGATACTCCCGTCGAGAGTCCAATAACTCCATAATAAAAAAAAACTGCTATAAATTACTCACACGCAAGTAGTGGTTTAATACTCAGAAACTCAAATCTGCCCCCTCTGTTTTACATTCGAGACATCCATCTTCATCTTCATACCACCAATTCCCCCGGTGACGAGGACAACAATAATTCTGAGGAAGAGCATAGCGACACCATCACACGTGCCACCCCAAGTGGGATCGGGATCGCGCCAGCAACCCTCCAACGACGACGCTTCTGTCAAGGGATAGATCATGCAACACTCACGAGGCCTATCGAATCTGGAATCTTTTGGAAGAAATCGCCGAAGATGGTCTGTGAGTAGAAGGGGAGAAGAAAAAAATTAAGAAAAATGTCACGTCATTCATAGTTAACGAATCTTTTTAAAGTATAGGGACAAAATGAATATTTTTATAATACAACGACCAAAATGAACTTAAGAGTATTTTAACCAAATAAATAATATACGTTTAAAATTAAGGGCCCGTTTCATAACGATTTTAGGTTTTGGTATTTCTGTCTTTAGTTTTTAATTTTCTGTTTTTGAAAAACAAAAATCATATGTGTTTGATATTTTTGTTTTCTAAACATGTTTAGTAACTATTTTTAGATTTTTGTTAGAGAAAGAAAATTCTATATAAAGTAGGGATGACAATGGCGGGGGTGGAAGTGCGAATATTCTCTTCCATTCTCGTGCTCGTAAAAATTTTTAGTCCCCGTCTACACCTTGTTCTTCGATCTGAGAGATATTCGCAACAAAAGTTACCGGTTGTATAATTAATTTTAATTATTTTTAGAATTTTAAAAATAAAAAAATGTACTGAATATATATTATTTATTTTTAGAATTATTATTTACTAGTATAAATAATTTGTTTTAAAAAATATTTAATATTTTATTCACAATTAGTAAATATGTCAATAAAATATATATTAATTATTTAAAAAATGGAATTAGGGACGGGGTTGGGACATACATTTCCTATTTTTGAAGGAGGGACCTGACCTTGTAGGAATTTTTGTTAATGTAGAGACATGAAAATACAAGTTTAGAGATGTATAATTAAACTTTTGAAAGATAAATTTTAGAGAGAAATAAAAAAATCTTAGAAAAAATTAATTGAATGAAAAGTTAAAGGAAAAAAATTTAGAGAAAAATAGGAAAGTTTAGAGAAAAAGATATGTTAAAAGGAAAAAAATTAGAAAGAGAGAAAAATTATAGTGGAAAAAAATTTAGAGATAAAAAAAGATTCGAAATATACTTTATAGAGAAAATAAATATAAAGAAAAATAAAAAATTACAGTAAAAGAAAATTGAACGAGAAAAGAAGATATAATTTTCAGGGAAAAAATAGAGAAACAAAAGATAAAATACAAAATTTTAGAGGGAAAAAAGTTCGAGAAAATATTAAATTTTTAGAGAGTGAAATGAGAGTAATTTGTAAGGAAAAAAAATAAAAATGTATAGAGATGAAAATTTTGGAGAGAGACAAATAATAATAAATATTTAAAATATGAAAATTTTATCGAGAGAAGAATACATTTTGTAGATAGAAATTTATGAGAAAAATTTTTAGATTGAGAAAGAAATTTTGTTAGAGATAAATATGAAAAGAAAAAAAAGGTGAGTATTAGAAGAAAAAAAAATTAGATTTTGGAAAATAGAAATCTATTTTTGAAAACTATTCAAAATCATTTTTGAAAAAAAAAAAGGTAGAAAATTGATGGGTTATCAAACAACCCAATTTTTAAAAACTAAAAACCGAAACAAAAAAGTAATTAATTACTATATTTGTTTAATTATCTATTAAAATATTACCAATTAATGTAAATATTTTTATGAAATGACCACAATTTTCATTAAAAAATAATATATTTTAAAATATAGTAATAAATCTAACAGAGTGATATTTCCGCGAGGTAATTTAGGGAAAAAAATTTATTTAATATCCTGAAAATCTAAATTTTTAAATATTAAAAAAAAAAAAGAAATTCGTACCATGTATAATATGATCTACTAGAGAGCTTCTAAATAAAAAGTTCTGTTTTTTATTCAAACTTCTGCCAACCTTTCTACATCTGTCGTTTTTAGTTTTCCCTTAACAATTGACCCTTCCTTTTATACTGATAAAAGAGAAAACGTGAGTCAAATGAGAATAGAGATCAAAGAAAAAGGAACAATACAAAATTTGCTAGTTTTTACAAGAGGCCCAATCAAAATGAAAATCAAAAGTCATAGAAATGCTATTCCTTTAATGTTATTTACCATAAATTTTCTTGAATCAGAATTAGAATTTTTTTTATGTTGTTTATCAAAATTGTCTGGAATCGAAATAAGAATCAAATATATAATACTTACTAGTATACACATTTCTTCTTTCACAAAGTACATTATCGTGCTAATCTTTTATTTTAATTAAAATAATAATAAAATTTATTTTATTTTATTAATATTTTATTGATAATAAATATTTTCTATTATACCAATTTGTTTAATTTTAATAAATAACAAATAATTAAATAAAATCACATCACCTCAAGATAAATTGTTATTAGAACCCCATCATTTAATATAAATGATTATTAAATTTTATTATTCTAATATTTAATAATAACGATTTTTAAAAATTTATTGATATTAATAATAATAAAGTAAAATTTAAAATTTAAAAACATAAAATACAATTTTATAATATTTTATAATAAAATAGTTGAATAAATTTTTATTAGAAGAAAAATTATTGATAATATAAACAAATAAGAAATAAGAAGGTATAGAAATAATTAATTAAAAAATTAGGGATCTCATAATAGATAAATGGTAAAAATAGTATAGTAATTATAATAAAGGTGTGAGATAACAATTTTAAGATGGGTTCTATCATTTGGTTGGATTCCTACCGTTTGGTAAAGGGAATGTAAATTTGGATTCCTACCGTTTGGTAAAGGGAATGTAAATTTGGATTCCTAAAGCGGGCCAAATTCAAATTTCAAATATATATATATTTTAAAAGGCAGCTGAACAGATTTATCAAAGAGAAATAACTACCAGGTGGGCTATATCAGAAGACTAATTCTCAGCCATTAACAAATTCAATCAAGAGGGGAAAAATCTTTCCAAAGAATAGAGCGCCCCAAAGAGATTGCCTCCTTCATTGAGTCGTTGGCAACAAAATTCAGATTGCGATTTATGTGTTTGTACTCAATCCGCTTGAAACGCTGTCTCAACTCAGTAATCTCCATAACCCAAGTACTTGCTTCAGATCTATAGATTTCACCTCCTCCAAATAAAGATTCTGATTTTGGGAGGAACCTTTAGATTCCATACTGAGGATCACACTTTCTTCCTTTCAAAGTGATCACTAGGAGAATGAGAGTAGAACTTCTGATTCATAAAAAGCTTGTACTCATTCTTCACGTTGTAAATCCCCTTCTTGTCATAGTGCCACATCCAATTGTCAATGCCTATTTGCCTTGCTCAGCGGAATCTTTTGGATGAGCTCAACATCTTGGACTAGTAGAGATTTTAGTTAACCAGCATCTCTTTGTGACCTCCTAGGTTAGAAAGAAGTTTA